TTTTTAAATAAACTAATGATTAAGTTAAATAAAATATTATCAATGAGTTTTAGAAGTCTCTTTTTCTCTCGTCGCCGTTGCTAGGGTTTTTCATCTCTGGTGGGTGAGCCTCTCACTTCAGTGTTTCTCCCTATTTTTTTCAAGGCCCCTCCTCTCTATTTCTTGCTTTTTGTCTCGATTCCTTTTTCCCTTCTTGGATTTGAATCGCATATTGGCCTGAGGAGGTCTTGGGGAAGACTCTGTGACTTCAGATCTAAAGAAGCTTTGTTTCCTGCACAAGCCCAGCATCATTTTCCTCTCTGAAACAAAGCAATCCACTATTGCAATGCATCTTATTTGCTTAGATCTAGGGTTTGCACACGGTTTTACCATTGATTGGGTCAGTAAGGGGTGGACTGGTTTTGCTTTAGACAAATGTTTCTCAACTGCAACAATCCTTTGTTTCACAATCCCCTATTGCTATTGTAATTGTTGATCTGGGTGGTTGTCATTGGCAGTCAATTGGGTTTTCCGGTTGAAAATAGGAGGAAAGGAATGCTATTGGTGAAGCCGATGGCGTTCTACAAGGGGAGAATGCTATTCCAATCGCTAAAAGGGCTCTCGTTCCCTTAATGAATTTCAGCAACATGGGATTAAAGAGGATTAGAATAGTTAGGGCCATGGTTGGGAGCTCATGGAGATGAGGGAGGTGCCTAGGCTTGGATGGAGGACCATGCCCCTCTTGTTGATTATTCCTCAATGAATAGATAGGGTAGCAACTTATGGGTTAGGAACTGTTTGTTGCTGAAATCCCTTGCTCTTCCCATGAAGCTGGTTAAATAAGTGAGGAGGTCCAGTAGCTTCCGATGCTCATAGTGACTCTTTTTTCTACATTAGTAGCTTTATTTAGCCCATACAGCGATTGTAATCACAATCTCTAGTTGTAGATGACTCTATTTACTTAATTGTCTATATCTGTCATGGGTATAGTTTAAATCTGTTATTAGTATTGTAGGTTATGCTTCTGATTTCTATTTTTAGGATATGCTGCTTTAGGCTATATTGTCATGAGATGGAGACTTACGCTGTAATTTTTCATTATTTAATGTATTTTTTATTAAAAAAAGTTAAATAAAATATTATAAATTATGATATAATTGAATTAAATGAGGTTGAGTTTTAATAGATAATTCTGTAATTGTACTAAATGTTAAGTATTGTTAGTGAAAGTTACAATCAGAAAGTTTCAAAATAAAATTTTTAATTTTATATATATAATTCTAGTAAATTTACTATAAATTTATTATAATTTTCTATAATTTTTTTAAAAAATAATTTAAAAAAATTATTAAAGACATGTATATCTAAAAAC